ACTAACATTAGTAGTTGTAGCAGTAGCATCGCCACCTCCAATAAAAATAAACTATCACAGCAACAACCCCTATTGATAACACCCAAATTAGCACATCATCCACAACATCACAATTTGCTCGGCGCCCCACATCCCACAACTCAACTCAGTCAACCTGATTCAACCACAGACCTCTTAGATAGTAGTTGTAATAATCCCATTGCATCTGTTGGCCCCGTCACTTGCATGCCATCATCACAATTCCGACCCATACCCCATAAAACGGTGCCCGCCTCGGTGGCGAATGCAAATGTGAGTGGCGACAGTGTTGGCACCATACTCAATCCATCTACTGCTCCCTTGTCGTCGAAATTCTTTTCGGCAACAACACTGCCCAAATAGGATACGGCCAATGGGGGTGGTATAGACCTCGATAGGGGTAGCCTGATGAGTAGTCTGGGCTATGATAGTGAAATATCCTGCACCTATATGGATCCCATAGACCAAACATGAGATTAGTGGATGGAGGGGTTGGAGGGCGTGGAGGGTGTCGAACTTAAAGTGGACTTGTATTAAATGGGAATACGCGCGTGTCTTTGGTTTGGTAGATTAGTAGATATGATGTAGATAGATTTACTTTTATTGTATGTGATGGGGTATGTTTTGGGTGAAAAGAAAATATGCAGTCAGATTGACCAAGCATTAAGATGGGATAGATTAAGCCTAATAATATGACCATGCTTTATATAATGTGTTCTATAAGTAGTAAGATTTAAAGCACTATGACACTGCTGGGATAAGATTTTTTTTTGTTTTTAAAGGATTCCGGTTTTAAAAAAGCGGTATGATGTGTATGTGTGTGTGTGAATGTGAAACTTACTAATTTATTTTATACAAATTCAAAATAGAAATGGTTTTAGTAATAATCAGCTCTTCTCCGCGATTAAGTAAAACAAACACTGTTCGGTGTCAATCAAGTTGTATTTTATCTCTGCGAAGTTCTACTTAAACTCAAGTCCACACGTTTTATGGGCACCTTTAATAGCGTGTTGATATTCAGTCCTCGGGTTGGATATAGTGTCGTTCCACAAAAACTCGAAAATGTTTGAACTAAGCATGTTTGGGGACAATCTGGCCTTTAGCTTAACTTTAGAAATTTTAGGGAAGCGATAATAGTTTAGGAAAATCATCCCTGTATAGGAACTTCCAGACAGCAACAGCAATTTGAAAGCTTGAAACAGCTTCGGTCGCCTCGGCGCCGCTTTTTAAGGATCAGCTTTCAGCGAGCTTTCAGGCAAACTCAGATACATAAGTGCTTTACAACGCAACGAGCCCTTCCTTGACAGAAATGTGTTTATTTTTGTTTTTAAATATTTTTTCAGAAACGATGAAAAATGTGTTCCCTTTCAATAAAAATTTCGGTTTGTTAATATTAAACTTATGAAGTGCAGTTTTTTTATTTTCTTACTTTAAGAACATCTGAGATAGGTTTAAGCCCTTTTGTAAATAAATTGAAAGTTTAAAAATTAATAATTTTGTATTTTTTTCTAAAGCTTCCGTACAGAAATAACTTAATGACAAAAAATTTAAGTAATTAGTTTTTAAAAGGCGTTAACTGTCCTTATGAATGGTTCTGTATAGATTTTTCGACATACCAAACTTCAATCCAGTAGTTAGCTTGAGCGTCTAAGCGAATTCTACCAATCTTCTAGTTTTGGTAGTGTGGAGGTTTTTCAGTTGGTCTGTGTATAAATCTTACTTAATTACCGCTTGAGAAGCTATATTTTTAAATTCGTGTTCACCATTTTACGGTCATATTACTACTTACTTAGTACTTCACGTTCATACTCACCTAAGCGCATTGGTTTTATACTCGCCAATAGTGTTTACGTTATTAAGAAAACATACGTATGTACAAGTAAAAGATTAACCCCAAGCCTTAGAAATTAACAGCAACAGCAACGATGTCACAAATTTATAAGGTCATATGTAGTAGCACTTAAAGCTTGATTAGTAATTTTTAATAAATAACGGTAACAAGCAAATTAAATAAAACAAACACACATTCACACAAACACACACATACCTATATATGAAGGTTACATTTGTAACTTTGCTTGCTGCATGAGACCGAATGTAATAGTATGTAATCCCCTAAAATTTTCCTCCTTCAACTAACATGCACTTACCAACAACAACAACAACAACAACAACTACAACGATATAACAAAACGACGAATAAAAAAAAAACACACACAAAAAAACTGCTGTCAACAGAGCTGGCGGCATACGAACCCTGCATCCGTTGCAGTTGCAGGCTGAATGCACCGTAATGCCCAGCAGTGGCTTCCATCAGTTGCCCATCGAAACGGAGCGCATTGAGTTGTCCGAGGTGGAGTGCGATGTGGACACTTTAAAGAAACTCAAGTTGGGTATGCGCTCGACATTGTGGTCGAGACCGTCGTCGACTACTTCACAGCTGCAACAGCAACAACAACAACAACAACAACAACAGCAACAGCAAGATACGCGCTGTCCACCCCAACAATCACAAAAGGGGCAACCACAAACGCAGTCACATCCGCAACAGCAACAGCAACAACAGCCGGCGCGACAACAACAACACTCGCCTGCACCATCACAACAAAAATTGTTGAGTGAAAAATCTGATTATTCGATATCAGTGTGAGATTAGATGTTGCAGCAGTTTTAAAAGTGTCGTGGCAAGTTACATACATAAGCTGCCACACATAGATAAACGGGGTTTGCTGCTCTATTAACGGTAAACGAATTATATAGTTTAGTGAAAATGAGTGTAAATTGTTGGCGTTTAGTGAATTTATTTTGTGGGGATACTTAGTTTTGAGCGGAGATAAGTATGAACAAGCGATAGTTTATTTCTAGAGTATGTATCTGTGAAAGTGAGAATGTGAATGTTGGTGTTGTTGTTTTATATAACCTACAAATAGTGCATACCCTCAAGCTCCCATGTGGCCACAACCTAACTTACTTAGATTGAACCTCTGCCCCCCACAAAATTACTTGCCCTCTACTTTGTTTTGTATGTATATCAACCTTCCGCATACATATTTACTCACAATGGAATACAGATGAATTTAAACTTTTGGACAATCAATCAAAATTTGTACGATACTTAAAAGCAAGCATACACACGCACACACACCTAATCCAATCCCATTTATTGTACTTAACTTATGTATAATAAAAATATTTCATCCACTTATAAATGCGTTAAATAAAATATATAAGTTTACTTTGTGCATGCCAACTTCATTCCCAAACTCCATGAATGCTAAACCAGACTCTCTAAACCACTATTTCCCCACCACCTACCCAAAATTTATTGCTAGTTGTATGTTCTCCGATGTTAAATTACTACTAAGTTAACGAACAAAATCAACCCAAGGTTGTATATGGGTACATATGTATGTAAACTCGAAGTTACATATTTTTATGCATCTTTGTATGTAAATTTTTTATATAAATTTAAAACATTATTAAAGAAAGGTAAGTTTTCATAATGGTCTAGAGGGTGTGAAAAAAAAAACTATTAAAATAAGTTTAAACTACTATCAAATGAAACCGAAAATATCTTTGATTGTAAATAACTGTAAACTATATGTATTTTCAGTGTAAATTGTTAAAATGTTTCAATGGTTTCGGAAAAAAGTTGGCTTTGAACTTACCAAATATTATATATGTACAATGTTTTCAGTTACATGCATAGGTAAATATAAGAGTTCCGATGTACATAGCTTTAAGTTTAGTGAAGTTGGACGTATTACTAAAATGTCTTGTTTGTAAAAGAGTAAAAAAAAAAACAAATTTAAATATACGAATATGTGAATATTTAATATTTTGAGAAATGTGCCATAAACACAGTGACCATATTTATGGCAACCGAATACGGAACTAAAAAGGATTTAGACAATTTTTTAATAAAACTAAATTATCTTAAAACTTCTTCGATAATCATTGATTTATCAAATATTTTAGAATTTCTCAGTAGTAACACACCTCGTGCTTCAAAATCATTTGATATTTTATATGAAATAGGCTGCGGGTCGCAATTGGTTTTGGTAATTAAACCTGCTATTTTATGTTGGGAATTTGGTAACGATATTTTGAGTATCGAGTCTTTGTGTTTCGACATTAATGGGTACCCGATTTTTTTACAGCGATTCTTTAAATGAGTACCATGTCGGCTGATATCGTGGTCCTATTTAGTACTACGCAAAAATGATTCTAAGAAGCTATGTAACTTTGTACATAGCTTGCCTGAAATGTTTTCATCCTTCGTTAGTGTGGTCAAAATTTCATTTGCTTTTTCGTGATCCAGTAATCTTTTCCATGAACCGGAACTTTTTTTTCGATCAATATGTATGTAGGTCGGCTTTAAACCATTTAACAGCCCGTGCGCTTTTTTTGCGGTAACACTCACCTCTCAGGTAATTTATTAAAAGTCCAATAGGGTTGCCTCTGAAAAATCGAAATTATATTTTCTCGCAATTCCAATACTCGCATTAAATAAATTTCTAATATAAAGAGAGGACATCATTATTTAGTATGACACAAAAACTTAACTTGAATATTTCCGCGATACAATATGGCACATTTTATGAAGTATGACGAACAATTTACTTCGGCGCAGTCCCTAGTATCACTCAATCTTTGATTTTTTTTATTTGTAAGGGGTTAGTTGAAAACTTAAGAACCTCCCATTGCACTCAGTTGTAACCCATACAAAACAATTAAAGTTATTTTCGCACAATTCTTTTTTTCGGAAACTTAATAAGGGAGGCTGATATTTTCTTAGATTTCAGATCAGGCCGTAACTACCATAACTACTTCTGTAAAATGACCAACTGCATGGAAAAAAATACCACTCTTTTATTCGTAACCAAGTAGTTATGGGTCCAGTTATATTTTCTTTGAGTAACTGACAAGTACTAATTGGAAATAGTGCGGCTGATCGAATCGAATTTACCCAACTCAATCAATTTTATTTAAAAGAGTTTAGCGGAAGTTTTATATTTTAGATACAATGAAACGGATACATTCTGTCAACCTATGTAAATATATTTTTAAATGGAATACTTCAAAGCCAACTTTTTATATTTACTCATAAAAAAAGAGTGTAATAAATTTACAAATATTGTAGATATGCATTAATTTGAATAATCGGATTAATAAGTCATCCAAAAATCTGTAAAATACTTAATTATAGCAGAAACTTTGAATATTATTTGAAATAATTACAACTGTCTGATTCAGAAACGCAATAGCTGAAGATGTAAACACTCTTGCAATAATTGATTACATGGGGCAGACTAATATTTTTAAATATTAAGTAATACCGGATTTCCACTAGGCGTTGAATGACAAAAAGTCATAATGCCAAACGATATTAAATACAAAAGTCTTTAAGTCTGCCGCCACATGCCACCTCATTTTGTCATTTCAATGCGTAACGGAAACTCGTGTTTATAACAACGATATTACTGGCAACTATAGAATTATACTGCTATTTACATAGAAAAAAATTATAATGATTTCAACTAATGTTCGTAGGTTAAAATAGTATTTGATACACTACTACATTTTTTTAGCATAAAAGTATGGAGAGGAATTTCTCTTTAGAAACAGTTGTGGATATGTATGCATGTATGTATATTATTTATTTTTCTATGCTAGTCCATTACGAAAGTGTATTGATATTAATTTTTGTTAATTGCAGCTAAAGAATTGAGAAAATTAAAAAATGTATACTTTATAATGTACAAAAGCAACTATCATAAATACATACATAAATATGTACACATTTTGTGTGATTAGTATTTTTGTAAGATACGGATGTAAACATCTTTGAGCGAAATTACCAATCAAAGCTGATAAAATTTAAGAACAAAAAAAAACAGTATTAACATGTTCGCATTTATTTAAAGACGTGTTCATGCAAGCCAATGTTTACACTTAAAATTTTGATAAGTACATATTTAGTTTTAAAATTGATTACAAAAATTGTGAAGTTGAATAACGAAACTACGGTGTAAATTTAAAAACGAATGGGAACTACAGCGGAACCGCTATGTTTCAGTTGAATGGAAAAAAATACAAAAATTTTAAGAATAAAATGGTTTACTTTTTTTATAAACATTTTATTGTAAAAAAAATAAAACATTTCGGAAACCATGTGCCAAATTCAAAATTTATGAAACAAAATACAAATTTAAAATCTAAAATTAAATAGATTTAAGTCAGAAGAAACAGTTTTTAAAAGCAAAATTTTAGGTAGTGAAACAAAAATATGTAATATAATATTTAAAACAAAAAACACTCAGATTACTAAAGTAAAATATGTAGTTTTGTGAGAAAATTTGTATTTTTTAACTAATAATATTTAATAAATTAAGACAACAAAAACTAACACAAATTATTCAAAAACTTAAAATACATAGTAATAAATAATCAAAAGTACGAGTGTAATGAAGTGATTACTGTGTGCAAAAAAAATTAAAAAAAATCTTAAGATCTACTATCTAATTATCAAAATGATTTGTATGAAAAAAGTGATTATGCTGCTATTCCCGTTATGTATGTTTATCTAAGTTTGAAGTTTGAAGTTCGTTTTCAAAATATTTATATAAATTTTAAAGATTCTTAGGTGTGTTGAAGAAGCTTACCCAAAACTGCTGATTTTTAATTGCAGCATCAGTGGTGATGGGCGGAATTTCTAAGTGACTTGTACGCCTTGGCTAGAAAAAAATAAAATATTGCAATCTGTTCATAGTGTAAGAAAATTATCTTAGGAGGAGGGCTCCAACTCCTGATGCAGAAGAGAGCGACTGTTACCATCTGTACTCTTTTTTACTCAACATAAGGCCTCCACGACATCTTCCTCTCCCTCAAATGTCCCAACAGATCAGGATTCCTCGCAAGCACGCGCCTGATTCTGAGTGATACATGGTACCACCTAACGTCATCACAGAAGGATGCAAACTCTATTCAATTTCAATTGGTTTGTGTAGCGCGTTTTTGGAAAGAGTTGAGTTCCCTACAGGTGACAGTGGGAGAGTTGAACACACATTCTTGTAGTAGAAATCCCAATTAGTGCTCTTAGGGTTTCATTAAAGCTTTGCTCAGATAGTACTAAATAAACTTGTGATGGAAAAAGTAGGGATCGTTGCTCATGGTACCATATTAAAGAAAAAAAGCACTGCTGGCCAGAAAGAACTTTTTTCTGTGTCAAATGTTCGCCTAGAAAATCGAAAAGAAGCTATACAGAAAAATTAGCCTTTGCAAATAAAAAATAGTCAAAGTGTTCAGGGTTGATTAAAAGGTAATAGTCGGTTGAGATGCGCATTTTCGGGACTAACATCGATACATCGATGTTTAGTTACATCGGAGAGATAAACATCGATCCAAAAATATATCGCCAGCAAAACATCGATATATCGATTGTTTCCGATGCTGTACAATTGGCTAACTTCGAGTTGAATATAAAGGAAAACTTAATTATATTCAATCCCAACAATTGCAGTCTCTGTGATTCAGTGACATAAATTCACACTTACATACAAATTGATGTCGGAAATCTTTGCAATACTGTAACTAGCAGCCTGGACAATTGACGAATGGTGGTGTGGACATAAAATTACGGCCTGCAATGCCAGCCAAGGTGCTAAATACTTTTCAAACCACACGCACCTCTTCAAAAATAGTCCAGGAATGTTAGTATAGAATAAAACTCATAAGAGCCGTTGGTGTAGTATTGACACCTGCAAAACATTCAAGTGTTTCGTGAAAATGCTTGAATGCCAATAAATTCCTTCCCCACCTAAATATGGGAAATATTGCCTGAGAACTTGGAAAATTTTCTTTTGAATTTTCGGCCACACAAACAGTTCCATTCCAAGGTCGCTAGGAGCTTAAGTTACAAAGCCTGATTTTGTTGAAATTCTAACGGAGGGTCGATCCTTTTTAAAGATTAAGTTAGCGTTCTCAATACTGGAAGCAAAATTTTTAGTTTCTGAAAGTTTCACCAAAAAAAGGAATAATAAAAATCAAATTTGTTTAGAAAAATAATGTATATTTGAATCCAAACCAAGTCTGAGAATCACAGTAAAGTCGATGTTTTAAACATCGCTCAAACTGTCGTCGATGAATCGACCATTTAGCGATGTTGGAAAGTTATAAACATCAATTGCAAACATCAATCAGCCACTTTAGTGGAGGAACAGCTAAAAGGAAGCAGCTTCGACACGTTCTTAAATAAGTCAACATACCAATAATTATTTTTTTTTTAATTTTTATATGTGTTCTCTGGAGATCTCGTATTAATTTTTGTACCCACTGAGTTAGCAGCATTACCAAAAAAAAAAACAACACAAAAATAAATTAACTAAATTAAAAGACCAAATATCGAAAAGATATTAAATAGAAAAAACTCTGCCAAACACCGATTAATATATTATGTAGTAGATCTATTTTCAAAACAATAAAATAAATTATGTCTGATTGCATACATACACATTTAAAAAACTCTTAATGTTTAGATTTACGCAATAGAGTGAAGTCATTCACGGTCCAAACGGTGACTGCAGTGTGTGCCAACAAATAAAATAAAAATTAAATATTTAATAATTTCATGCAGCTGTACGTAAACAATACTATGCAAACACACATACCTAACTATTCTGATATGTATAAATTCTTATGTAGCGAATATACAAAACTATGTAACTAACTAATAGTTATATTTATGTAAGATTTGTAAGTTAAAATCAAATCTTAAACTAATATACATATTTATGAGAAAAAAGCATTTATTTTAGCCACTCAGCTGTTGCAAAGAACTCGTAATAAACCAAACACGTAACATTTACATTTGTATGTATTTTTTTATTTAACAAGTTAATCACATCGAATTGTACGAATTTATGTATTACGAGTATAAACAAAAACAAAACTGGAAAAAAATGTACTGAACAGCAAAAGCAATCGCAAGGTTTTTATAATTTAAATCGAATATCCAGCAAATTGAATTATCCTCATATTGTTACATAAGTATATGTAGATACAAATAATGTATGTAAAAACCGTAGTCTGAAATATATATAAAATCAAGCCAAAAGCAAATGTGTGGCAAATGTAGCACAAGACAAAAAAAAATATATATATAAATAATTAAAATTAACAAATATCTTCAATAACCACAATCAAAATGCAAAGTTAATCATAATTAGTGTAACGATTATTGATAATATGTAATGTAATATTTAAAAAATTAACTAGCACAAAATGAAAAAAATTAAATCAAACTAAAATAACGAATTATATTAAATGTGTAAAATAAATTATACAGTATTTAAAAGTCGACAAATGATTTTTTTTTTTATTGGATGAATTGAAAGGGTAAGTAAGTACTTGTTGGCTTTTGGTTGCTTCTTGCAAAATAGTAAGGTAATTGAAGCGCCGAAAACTAAATATGCCTCGACGCCGGAATCTAACTTGACCAGGAATAAGGTAAATTCGTTTTAAAAAAATAAGTAGGTGTTTCTTCTATTTATTTGGTGCTATAACCGTCTAAGCAATTTAAGCCGAGTTCAAAAGAGCACGCCAATAAATTCTCTTCTGTGCCAACTGACGCCAATTGGAAATGCCAAGTGAAGCCAAGTCCTACCAAGGGGTATACTTAAGGCCGTTTACTTATCTAATTAAAACTATAGTTAAATCATTAGTTTAACATAACGCATTTCTAAGGAATTTTCTGTAGGTAACTTTACCTGATGATTTAATTAAGAATTAAATATCAAAAATGTCTGGCTGGACTTTGGGTAGGTATCCAAAAAAATATCTGAGCTTTGTATTTGCAGAATTTTTTTGAATGAAGTTTGAATTTTATGAAATGAAATAAAAAGACTCATCTTAAACTACTTTTGTTGCTTTAAATTACAATCATCTAGAAGGTACTTTTCAGATAATTTATAATCAGATGAAGACGATATCTGTAAGAGAAGCCTTCACTCAATTTTACGAATTCTTTAAGAATTGTTGAGCTCATGCGGAAAACCGAAAATCGGTTCCAAAAGGACAAAAAAAGGTTCCGATAGAGTCGGAAAATGATCTCAGAATAATCGAAAAAAAAAACGAGTAAACAGATCTGATTCACAGAGAACCGAAAACGGATCCTACAGAACCGAAATTCGGCCACGAAGCACTCACTGCATTATGGCGAAATAATTGTTTGTATTGGCATTAAGTCTAAATATAAAGAAATCATACTAAATTCGGTTTAGATATGTATTAGAGTTCTGAGTTGAGCTATCAACTTTTGTTCGGTTCGAGTCATTATTTCATATAGCCGCCATATACTCGATCTGGCCGACTTACATCCTTCGTTGTTTTTGATGCTATCAACTGGAAATTCGTTTTGCTTTCATAATACGGAGTTCTGAGTTGACCTAAAAGTTATCTAGTTTTCTTCCTCATTTTTTAAGCTTTCAAATCCCTGTCTGAATTCTCAGAACCGTACATTACTAATACGTAGGTATACTAACATTTGGGCATGGGTTGGTTAAAGCCCAAAAATAGCTGTGCCACTGAGCCCGAACAACGATTGCTCTTGTTTTCAAGATGACAACAATTTCGCACGCCCGGAGTTCTGCCATGACTGGCCTTACAGTATTAAAAAAAAATTCCACCCTGCAAAAAATAGATAGTTTTTGGAAATAATGTTAGTACTGTTGATAGAGCTTTCCATCTAGAAAATCTTACTTCAACCTATTACTGCATCTTAAATCAGTTTTCGTGTTTTATGTTAATCAAAAAGGGTAATATTTTTTTTAATCATAACCACACAGATAGAGGAGTTAAATATATAACAAAAACTCATATCTGAGCAATCAGTGGTAAGGAATATTTACCATATATATCACTGATCCTATGATCGATGTGTAAACGAGTCACACCGTCTGTTGGTTTTAGCTGCATGGAGTTGTATCTTAAAAATATGTTATGGGAGAAATAGGTTATGCGACATCGCTCTTGAAGATTTTCTCAGCAGACCTTTTATGATTAACTAAAAAATCGGTCAAGGAATTGCATGATCTTAGCGGTCTAAGGGCCGGTTACTCAATGTCTGGTTAACACAAATCGGAGGTAGAAGGTCCGGT